CCCGGCCGGAGCGGCTTGTGGAAGCTCCATGTATATTTGCGACGAAGGGTTGTAAAAACCAACTCCTGCGTGACGCGGCCGGGAGGGTCCCGCGCTGCCCCCGTGCGGTGCCGGACCGATTGCGCCCGACAGCGCTTTCAGAGGCATGCGCTGGGAGAGCGATTATATCGCTAATTGACTTATATTCAGGCTATGATCAGTTTTCTGTGTACAAATCGGACCGACCGATGACGGCTATGCATACCCCTCGATGGCTGATCCACATGAACGTTGCACCGCAGGGGTGGACGAATGCGGTCGTCATAGTCCAGCGGCACATGGTAAGGGCAATGCAGCCCATAAGTCCTCACATCACGCAGCCCTACATTGACGATCTGGTTGTGAAAGGGCCCAAGAGAAGGATGAGCATGAGGTGATGCCAGTAATCAGGCGCTTTGTCTGGGATCATGTGCAAGATTTGTGCAAGGTCCTGGATCTTCTGAAGGAGCATAACCTCACTGCCAGTGGGCCGAAGTCAAGACACTGTATGAGTGGGGCCACTATCTTGGGATTCGTGTGCGACGAGAGGGGTCATCGGTCGGATACCAAGAAGACCAACAAGATCCTCGAGTGGCCGACACCGTTCCAGACTATCTCGGAGGTGAGGAGCTTTCTGGGAACGTGTGGGTTTTGGAGGATCTTTATCAAGGGGTTTGCGATGAAGACCGAGCAGCTGCGGAAGCTTGTACATCAGGGGCAAGACTGGGAATGGGGTGACCAGCAAGAGTCGGTGATAAAAAGTCTCAAGAAGGAATTTGAAGAAGGAGGTTTAGTATTGGGGGTACCAGATCATGCGGCAGTAATGACCAGACCTTTCATCGTAGAGACGGACGCAGGGCCAACCGCTCTAGGAGGTGGGAGACCCCAACGGGGGGGGAGGAGCGACCATTAAGGTTTGAGATTCGGATGCTCAACACGTCTGAAAGGAACTACTCTCAGTTCAAGCGCGAAACCTTGGCGGTCCTTCACTATTTGAGGATATTCAGGAACTACCTCTTCGGCAACAGGTTTGTACTAAGGGTGGACGCTACGACATTGGTTGGCTCTCTCAAGAACTTCGCTCCTTCAGACCCAACCATCGCCAGGTGGCTGACGTACATCTGGATGTTTGACTTCGAGTTGGAGCGAATTCCAGGGAACAAGAACAGGGCGCATGGGCCGAGTCGAGTCGACTCGGACAAAAACCATCAGGGAGTGATCGAGGATACTCCACCAGTCGACGGATTTTTGGACAGCGAGGAGGATGTGAGACTTCACATCAACTCCTAGGCATTGGCCGTGGGTAAGTACGTTACTCCTGGACGACCTGTATGGCTTGCGCCTCCGGGACATGTACGACGGCCAGACTTGGTCCTCAAACCCTATATTGAAGAAGATTCTTGAGGAATGTCGGGCGTAGGCTGGATGATGGAGCTGGCCTTAGCAGGCAAGTACGAGCTGCAGGAAGACCCGCTTGCAATTGAAAATGGGGCGCTACAGGTGGGTAAGCACGAGAAGATGATAGGTGGGGTGTACCTGCTGGCAAATGAGCTGATTCAGGAAGAGACGGTCATAAATACGGTACTAGACCAGGAAGAGGAGATAGAGCCGGAAGGAGGTGACAACGTGATCCACGAGAGAGAAGATGATGACTTCGAAGAGGGGGAGATCAAGGAAGCGTTTCGAGCAGAGGAGTATAAGGGGGTACACCTTGAGCTTGGCATGCTTCTTTCGTGCGAGATGAGGTGCCTGCGCGCGAGTTCTGAAAATGAGGCCTAGTTTTCTGGTGAGGGATGACCATCTGTTCATGAGGAGCAAAGGAAGGGATCCCAGGAGAGTAGTCTGTGGCGTCGCTCGCCAGATTGACATTATGGCGGCACTGCACGACGGTATGGCAGGTGGCCACAGAGGTGCGGATACGACATACCTGAAGATCCACGATTTGTACTATTGGGATGGCATGGGGCAGATGATTGATGACTATTGTAAGTTTTGTGTACCATGCCAAGAACGGTCTGCTCTTAGACCTAGAGAGCCACTTCACACAAGGTACGTCCATGAAGTTGGAGTCGTCGTACATCTGGATCTGTTGGCAATGCCGCTGGGAATAGGAAACTACAACTTCATCTTTGATGCGCGGGACAACCTCTCTGGGTTTGTGGATGGCAAGGTCGTTTGCACAAAGACTGGCGAGACGCTGGCTAGATGCATCGAAGAATATTATCTTCGTTACCCCTTTGTTTCCAGGCTTGTGATGGATAGAGGGTCCGAATTCACCTGTGCGGAAGTAAAGGCTCTATTGAAGAAGTATGAGGTCATTGTTGAGTACACTACTGCAACACACCCCAGAGCCAATGCACTTGTAGAGAGAGGGCACAACACCATCACAAATCTTCTCGCCAAATGGACCGACGGCAGGCCCAATCAGTGGTCGAACTTTCTGAGAGTCGCTTTCTTCGTAGATAACATCACCATCAGGAGAAGCACCGGCTACGCACCGGCCACGCTATGATATGGCCGACACGCAACGTTCCCTATCGAAAGCTTCATAAAGATCTGGAAGCGACAGGACCTCGAGACTGATCTGACCTTTGAAGAACTGCTGGATTTGAGAGCACGACAGATTGGAGCTATTGAGGACAGAATTGAGGAAGCGGCAAGTAGGACGGCCGATAGTCGTACGAAGGACAAATTCCGGTGGGATAAGATGGCGAGGGTGAGAAAGGAGCCTCTCAAGGTGGGAGACGTGCTGCTGTTGTACGACTCGTCCCTGGAGAAGCAGTGGTCTCGGAAGTTGGATAAGAGGTGGTTGGGACCTTACCGGGTCACCAGATGTGGTGAACACGGTGCCTACCAAATCGAAGAGCTGAATGGGACGGCATGGAAGGACTTGGTGTCAGGCTCGAGGCTAAAGAAGTTCGTGGCTCGAGACGAGGTGAGCTGCGATATCACCAGCTAGAGTCACTCTCTGAGCACGTCATATAGAAACAATAGTATAAGTGGAGTGTATGGGGCACTGTTCTCAGTAGAATGGCGTGATAGGTTGTGACTCTTGGTTAGACTAGTGTATGTGTGTATGCATATGTATGGATAGGTAGATAGTTGGGATAGTAATGGGAGGGCTATGTATGTCTCCTGTGGGGTTTTGTCTGACATCGCTTACCCTCTGTGTGCTCTTGTTTGTCTCCTCCTTGTTGTGCAGGCTTGACACCGCTCGGGGCAGCCATGCCAAGAGGGAGGGGAGCGGGAGGGTCAGTGGAAATCCCTTTGGGGGCGACCAGACAGAGGACGCGGATGAGGACCAGGAGAGAGAACAGGCCTTCAGTCTTCCAGGGAGGGAACATCAAGTTAATCCTGATGGAGTTCGAGCGACATGCGCGAGAGTTTGGGCGGGACAGCACCAGGATGCTGAGAGAGGTACGAGTCATAGGCGAGTGGGCAGACCCCATTGCCAACCTGGTCAGAGAGTCGTTGAGTTGGCCAGACTTTGGGCGGAAGATGGAAGGTCTGCATCCGTCACCACAGGGGAGGGATGGACAACCCATCCGATTCGACTTCACCAACTCATGGGAGTTCTTGTGGGCCTATGACCGATATGCAGACGAGCTTGATATCCCAGGAGAGCAGAGAGTGAGGAGCTTCCTGTTGTTTGTGAGACACCATATCAGATCCTTTGTTCGATCCATCGTAGGGTCTGCCATGAACTGGGGGCACTGCAAAAAGCTGCTATGGAACTACTATACTCCAGCTCGTCAGACGGGTGAGAGAAGAGGCATGAAAAAGAGAAGAAGGGAACCCGAGGCAGAGGAAAGAGGAACCTTTGAGCAGGACACATTATCAGAGGCTCAGAGGGAGGAGAGGAGGAAGGAACACAAGTCCCACAGGCACGAGAGGGCTGAGGGAGTAGGGGGTTTAGGCGCACCTCCGCAACCTGATTATAGGGAGGTGGATCACCCTATGCCATATATGGAGCCGGACAGGCCTCAGGAGCCGCACGTACAGGAACAGAGAGAGGTTCGGTCTGCTGAGGAGAAGGAGTTGGACAGGAAAGAGAGAGCAGCAAGGGAACAAGAGATCAGGACCCAGCTCAGGATGAAGAACCTTACAGAGTTGCATGAGAGGATGCAGCAAGGGAAAGGGCCTGAGGAGGTGGAGGACAGAAAAGGAAAGGGTACCTGCACTCAGGAGGAGGACCCTCCTCTTTTCTCTGAGGTCTGGATGGGCTTCGATAAGCTGATGGACGCCACAGGAAGATCAGGGGGACAACAACAGGAGAAGGGGGTTAAGTTGGTCTCTACAGACCTACTCAACCTGAAGGGCATGATGAGAGAAGGCTTCGCGGCAGCCAGGGCATCAGATCAGAAGATTGGGGACAGACTGACAAAGGTGGCACCGAAGGCATATAGCCATAGAGTGGACTGGGAAAGAGAAGCTGAGGACCTGAAGAAGGAGCTGGAAAGACAGGGCAAAGAGTTGGAGGCAGTAAAGGCAGACATGGAAAAGGTCTCAGCAGAGAATAAGGCCGTCAGACAAATCAACCAGCCCCTTAACAAGGTCACTGACGCCCTGAGGGCCTATTTGTGTGCACAACTGACCTTCTTCCAGGTCAAGGAGACTGAGTGGGAGAAAAAAATCCGAGACCTCGAAGCCAAGTATGCCCAGCAAGCCCCCACTAGAGTGGTGGATTGGACAGAGGTCCAAAGGTTCGAAATCAGGAAACATCCTGTAGAGGAGGTTCTCAAGAAGGAAAAGGAAGTGGAGAAGGCAGACCAGCAGGAGGGTGAGGAAATCCCTCTGATCGACAAGGAGATTTTGAAACCGTCAGAGGCACTGGCAAAGGAAGGCACGAAGGTCGGAGAGTTCGAGTGGAGAATGCCAGCTGGTCTGACACTGGGACATGAGCCAGCAGTACCACAGGAGGGACCACCAGTTGAGGCGATGGGGGTGGAGGTAGTTTTGCCTACTACTCAGGAGGAGACTATGGGACAGTCGGAGGGTCAGGAGAGCATGGGCCAGACCATGGCTGGGCTGAGCAGAGAGTGGACCTGAAGGATTGTCAGGAATCGATTACGCTTCAGAAGGTGCCAGTTACTACAGATTTGCGGGGTGTCCTAGGATCTTGGGCCACTGGGTCAGGGCCGGAGGGGCGAGTTGGGGAGCAGGTGTTACGGGCAGGTGATAGAGCGGCCTGCCCCGCTTCTTCGGAGATCCCGCAGCAGGAGGTCACGAGCAAGGTCTCGACAACCCCATCATTTGTACCCTCGCTGGAAGGAGAGAAGGTGTTACAGAAGAGGTTAGACAAAATGCTTCTATTGCAAGAAGGGCAAGCATCGGTCCGATGACTGCCCCAAGAGCCTCAAGGACGAGGCGAATGGATTGTACACCAGGGAATCATCTGGGGTTTTGAGGGACAAAGAGGGAAACCTAGTTCCTAAGACTCGTGATGGGGTGAGGGCGCAGTTGTATAGGCAGCTGCAGGAGTTCATGAGTGATCAAGAATAGGGTTCTCTAATAAGGTACGGAAAGGTCTAAAGTCTAGCATATGCGGGATGTCTCTGGCTCACGTGCTGATGGTTACTTGTATATAGGAGGATACATGGAGGATTGGATCAGACCCATGTACGTCAGCGAGTTGAGGCAGGAGTGAGGTGTTACATCGCATTGTAGGTTTGGTAACCTTTTTGTATAGAAGATAACATCAATTCTGACTATTTTTCTTTTCTTCGCTAATGTGATGCAGAGTGTTAGTATCCTTGTAGAGTAATGCTCGTGAGTGTGGAGCGGTTGTCGAGAGTTGATACGTTGACGCTTGGGTACTATAACTTTTGCTGGATACCTGTACTCTTTGTATAATAACCTTGATTTTTGTGCTGAGGACAGGAGCTTTTGCTCATTGCAGGGCCCCACGTCGTGAGTGTATATATGAGTCTCGGCCTTTGTCTTTGTGTTGTGTGTGGTGTGTCACTCTCACTTTCGGTTTGTGGACTTGCCCATATGGATGGTGGTATGGTGAGATAATTGTTGTGAAGTGAACTGATCGGCGCTTTCTTCCACTATACTTGCGCATCCCTGACCTAATGACAAGCGGTGTCGGAAGTATAAGTGAAGAGAGTGCCCTCATATTATCAAAAGAGTGATGATATGATATATTTGGCTCAGATGGACTGATGATGAATGAGGAGATCACTAGTAAAGTTGTGCTTTTTGTGTATGATTCAGAAGTGAGAGGGGGAAGTCCAATGGTCGATTGGGCTTTCTTAAAAGGATGAAATTTTGTGAGAGCACTCAGAAGAGTTGCTATGCGTGATGATGAATGACTGTATGTGTGTAAAGTCTGACAAGGGAAGACCAGGTTTTATGAGAATTATGGATGGAAATTTCTGGCAATTATGTTGGGACTTGAAAAATATTGTGAGTATCCCTAAAAGACGCGTGACCTCGCCTGCTTCTGATCAGAGTAAGGGAGGCACGACCCTGTAGACTATCGGGAGTTTTTTGTTGGAATATGGAGAAGGGCACTATCCCCCCACGTAGTCTCGTGGACAACGATATGTGACCCTTTGAGTATGGTTGTGAAAGAAAGTGCCAGACCACATGGGTTAGTCTGAGGGACGTATTGTAAGGCCAGGCTAAGGGGCTATACTTAGCATCGCTGGAACTGTAGAACCTAACTCCCAGCGAAGGCCGCTGACCGGCGCAACCTGGCAGCGGGATCATGGCTTACCAAAGGTTAAGTCTTGAAGGGTCGGCCGCCCGGAGAGGTCTAACTGGAGGGAAGGTCAATGGGGTCGGTTAGATCAAAAGTCAGGGTCCTTCGGAGTACCAAGATAGGAAGAGTTGCTTATCGTTGCGTAACCAACGAGGGCACCATCGCTACATAACAACGCGGTGGACCGTGGATTCGGCATGATCAGTCGGTCCATGGTGGGCGAAGATGGAGACCTGAAACCACCTGTGTTAGACTTCAGGTTGGGTGTTCACTGTGATTTAAGATGGTAAGCATTACCATGTGGGCGGATAGAGGCGCCCGGTATTTTGAGAGGTCTCGGTTAGGGCCCGCGTCCTAAGTTATGACCCCGTTCGCGGAACGATGACTATACAGGACACCCAACGACGAACCGACAGAAGTCTACGACAAAGGGAGAGGACTATCAACCTAGTACCTGGGAGCGGGCAGTACGCTGTAGTACAGAACAAAGTATCCCCTAGCTCCAAGGTCAGGACGTGGGAGACCCATGTTGAAACCCTGGCAGTGGAACGTCGTGACGGGAGCAGGTTGATGAGACAACCTCGAACGGAGTCGAGCCGGTAACCGGATTGGTCATTTCCTTGTCAGCGAGGTGTGGTTGTGTTATAGCTATGATTGTCCGACGTGACGAGGACGTCGCTTAATAAGGTCTGGAAAGTCATCGGCCCGAATACCCTTACAAGGGTATTTGGGCACGTTTTTGCATCTCGCAGGAGGAGCGCGCCTGGTGATACCTAAGGGCGCACAGTGTGCGGGCGTGCACTTTGTGGACACGCATTAGTCGGACCAAGTCTGGGTCGAGGAAGGCCCTGCGACGCCGGCAGAACGAGCGTAGAGTTTCTGAGGCGGGCGCAGCCTCGCACTTACAGGTGAAGTTACAAGCAGCGTCACGTTGACCAGGTAGGACAATGATTGAAAGGGAGTGTGGTCGGCTTGGTAGGAGCCAGTGGTGTCAGGGTCGCACTGGGCGAGACTTCGCAGGCACTAGGTTGAGCATGCGCCGCCAATAGTAGAGGCCATGGCGTGCTTTAACTAGGGCGGCGTAGGTCGGGACGAAATGAGTAAAAGTCGGGGTGTTTTCCGACAGAAGGGGGTAGAGCGGGCGACTTCCCGGTGAATATGAGGGAGTAGGAGAGCCCGACCATAGCCGCTGCGTGATGCGGCAACGTGCACGGCAAGCCTAGCAAGGTCGTGCCCTCCGAAGTACTACACAGGTGCCGGTGGGTCCGTAAGCGCAAGTTGTAAATAAGGGGGGCGGCCTGAGATACGGTTTGCTGGCCTAGACAGGCTGCCCTACTCTTCATGAGTAGGACTGCGCCTGCTGCCACCAGGCTGGGGCTTAGCCCTATAGGTTACGGTGCTAGACTCTCATCAGGCGGATCCCGGGATCGAGGCCAGGAGCGAGCAGCGAAGCAGCGGAGGAGCGCGTTGGAGTGAGTTGTGGGGTTGAGGGTCCCGGGGGACTATCCCCCTTGGCTTTTTGCGAGGGGCTCCGATCGCGGGCCCGAAAGAAAGGGCCGAGTATCAGCGGTCCTCTCCCCCATCTGCATCATTACTACCACTATAGTTTCTCTAAGTTTTATTTTCCTCTTTGTCTTCTTAATTTTTATCCCTTTTCATTTGGGACGAGGCCCGGTACCGGTCCCAAGACCGGCCGTGACCGAGAGCTCAGTTCAAATAGGTACACCATTGGGCTGCTGAAATACAGATCCAACCATGGAGCTGTTTTTTTTTGCAGCCTCATTTTCGTTTTTTTTTATGGCCCGTCGGCACGGCAGTAAAATGAGATAACTATATATATATATATATATATATATATATATATATATATATATATATATATATATATATATTTTATTTTTTTTTTTTGGGATTCGTCCATAAGAGCCTCGTGTAACTTAAGGATAGAGCCGTGTGAGTAGCGAAGGACCAGGCGGTTTTTTTTTTTTTCTGCAGACGGCCAGGGCCGTATTCCGTCTGAAAAGGCGCAGCCGCATGACCCAAACCATGCGAAAGACCTCAAATTGGGCGTCCTCAAATCTGCACGTTTTGCAGGTTCGGGGTTGCAGTGTGAGCGTGCCGTGGGGACCAGAAAGATAGTGAGTTATGCCAAGACAGGGCGAAGGCCGCTTGATGCAGCGGCCGGTCACATAAGACCCGTCCCCACGTCTGTCCTTGGCAGTTCCCACTTGTACATTTGTTGTTACCCCTAGGACCCGTGGAATGGTGGGACGGGCCTGGGCAGTTGTGGCCAGGGGATACACCGCTCTCAAAACTCAGCCTGCTGCGAGAGAGGAGGGGTATGAGTGTGAGTCTGCGTGCTGAGACCCGTAAGGCACTGAATTAACCGGACAGGGTGAGGACCAGCGGGTACTGGCGCAGGGGCTGTGCACCGCTGGTCACATAAAACCCCTCCCCCATCCGTTTTTCCTTATCCTATTATTTTCTTTTATTTTTTATTTTCTGAGTATAATTTTTTTATTTTTCCTATTCCTGTTTTTTCTTTTCTTTTTCCTCCCTATTTGGAATGAGGTCCTGTACCAGTGACGGGACCTGCAGATAAACCCAGCGGCATCGTTCAGTGGATACCCCCACGAACTGCTGGGCTACTGCTGGGCTACCACTATCGTGGTACAGCCCTTCGGGACATCCGTAAAAATTGGAACGGTACAGAGAAGGGTAGCGCGGCCTGTGTAAAGGTCGTGCGCAAGAGGAGAAAGAAGTTTTCTTATTATTTATTATTACTTTTGTGCCTTGCCCGTAGTGGTTGAGCCGGTCGTGGCTTGGAGACCGGCCTATTTAAGGCTGGGAGTCGAGAGGGAGAGAGTTGATCCTTGCTCATTGCTCATCTTTCAAGTCAGTCAGATGAGCGGGCGAGCATTGTTTGGGTGGTATAGAGCTGAAGAAGAAGCAGAGTAGCGGGGAGTTGATAGGGGAGACGCAGAAGGTGGTGAGGAGAGGAAGGATTAAGAGAGAGAGGTAGCGCAGCTCTCGGGGACGGGAGACAACTGGAATAAAAAGAAAAGAGAGGTGTACATGGACACAGTTTGCGCCAGGTACGTTCAACAGAGAGAGGGGGAGAGGAGAGTTGGAAGGGATCTAGCCTGCGCATTTCCTGAATGAACTAGGGCGAGTCGGGCACCGATCCTGGAAGTTTGGGCTCAGGCGACCATGAATCCGAGCTCATAATGGGACGGGAGTTAGGGGGTGGTGAGCTAGGTGAGAAATAACGTGCGCGGAGGAAGCCGGGAGCTATGGGAGAGAAGAGGGTAGTCATCAGATCTCGGTCGTTCCTTGGCCGTTTGTGGCAATCTAAGAAGGTATCTGGGGGTTTTGAGGCAGGGCGAAGC